AGGATGCATCATATCAGAATCTCACCAGAAAAGTGGTATCTTCTCTTCTGACAAGTAATGATAAACCTTTAAGGTAGGTTAGGATTGATAAGAGAACTACTCGCACCTCCTTTCCTTCAAATATAGAATATACATCCAGAGCCTAAGCTCAAAGGCATTCTACTCCCTTTAAAAAACATGTTCCTTGAAAAATTGCATCTTTTAAAGTTGTGCACTCTCATTTTACGCTCTTAATCCCAAAATTATAATCGAAATTTAGATGCCATTTGCATCTCATAATTTAACAACGAATCTACTAGAATTGTTGAAAGCCACCTTGTAAAATTCTACAATCCCCAAAATCAAAACCAAAGTACAATCTAAAGATCATAAATAAAAATCCTAAAAAATCTTATAGGGAAAAAATTAAAGTATCTTTTGATCGGATTTGTGGTAGCGCTTAACTGGACAAACCACAAAGTCACTGACAAATATTCATGAAATGATCAAATTGAAAGAATAGAAAGAGACATGAGGGGCTTCCATGGGGTAGTGCTCGGAAGTTGGTATATTTCCCTCGCTTATAGTGTTTGTGGTTCTCCATTCACTTCAATTATCTACTATATTTTTTTCTTTCAAAATCCAATCAAATTTAGGAAAAATAGATGAATACCCGGACCCTAAAATTTAAAAAGGATAATGCCTTAAAATCTAAAATCAATCAAAACCTAATAAAACAATTGAAAAATACCTTTGAAGATTGTCAGTGACTTTGTGGTTGAAACTTGAAACCAATAATTCAACCGATTGAATGTGAAGATGAAAAAGTACGTAATAACATAGAGAAGATATACAATATTAAAAAAATCTTGTAATATTAAATAGGGACAAATGCATAAATACACATTTTTAGGGTTATAATTGTCACAACACTATTCATAAAAGCAAGATTCTACTTTTTATAAAGTAGGGATTTTGATTAAATTTTAGAACTTTCTACTACTTCTTAATTATTTGTATTTTAAATTTAAGCCGAGTAATCTTAATAGTATTTCTCTCAATACATATTAACTTGAAGTTTGATGTTTACATTCATTCTTTATTAAGCTATTTCAAATTTCATGTCACCTCACTGTCATATTTGCTTGCATTAGCGAAATAAACTTTTGGTAATTGTCCATCTTTACTTGATAACTACTTTGTAATTTATCACCACCTTCGTTTCTAATTATTTGCATAAAAAAAAAATTTATGTTTCATAAATTTGTTGCAAATGATTAGAAACGGAGATAGTATATCTTTAGAAGAGGATAAATGGATCAATTGCATCAAAGCTTAGAGAGAAAAACCTTTCCCCCAGGACATGCCATGTTAGTTATGTAATCCAATTTAAAAGGAAATCTTTTACAATCACTCAGACACTCGCACACATAATGAAAAAAAAGAAGAAACAAAATATTCAATCATAATTGAAACTTCCATAAATATTCAACTTATTAAGGAATATTTTCTTAAAAAAAAAAAAAAAAAACCCTTACTAAGGGCCTGTTCTCATTGACTGAACTGAACTGAACTAAAATGAATATTTTATAAGAGAAGGAAATTAGGAGCTGAGCTAAACAGAACTGAACTGAACCGAAGTGAGCTGAACTGAACTGAACTGAATTTCAACGTAAGAGAACAGGTCCTAAGGCAAAAAATTATACCATTATAATATCTAATAACATAATGAACACAAAATACTTGGCAAACTAAATAAAATAAAAGGAAATAAAAGGAAAAAAGAAGAATTTTACCAAGGGTTTGTTCTCTTCAACTTATTTCAATTCAGCTCCAAACAGCTTAGTTTAGTTCAGTTACTAATTTCCTTTTCCCATAAAATATTTAGTTTAGTTTAGTTCAGTTCAATTCAACTCAGTAAGTCAATGCTCCATTCTAATAAAGTAATAATCACATCAAAACTCCGTGCTAATGCACAAAACATATTATAGTATGGAGTATTTATTTATTTGTTATTTTATTTTTTTTATATATATAAATAAAGTATTAAGTATTTATCAATCAAAATTTAAGTTGCAAAATATATGACATTGTTGGATAATAGTTTATTTAGGCCTGTGATCTGATAAACTATGGGCCATACCAGTGGGCCTTGTTATAGCATGTTACAGTTATTCTGGTTTAATATTTAACAAAGGTCAAAGTTACAGTTGAACTGCAATTGGTATTTGGTAAAACAATTCTGTAAAAGGGTATTTCTCAGTAATATCACTTCTTTCCAAAGGACAAATCTGTCATTTCCCCCTAATCAATGAATGACGACGCGTAGATAACGTCACAAAAAAGCTATATATGATGAAAAGGTAAAAGAAAAGAATCATTTAATTAGTTTTATTTAGATTATTTAAAACTAATTTTTAGATATGAAAAATACTCCCTTTGTTTTTTAAATGCATCACTTTGACAATTGCACTATTTACATATTATATTTGACTTAATTTTTTCATCTCCATAAAATAAATAAGTGCTATTATATGATATATCATTAATCATAATGTCTAGTTCCATAATATAGTTTTGCACTATTTTTACCAAATTGAAGACTTTATAATATAAAGTATAATTAGTAGGTGTATTTAATTGGCAGCAAAAAATAAATAATATTACATAAAAAATTAGTGAAAATAGGCTTATTCCCAAAAATAAAAAAGAAACAAAAAAAGAAAAAAAAAAGGGAATATAGGATTAATGAGAGATAGAAATTGTTTCAAAAAAAAAATATTGAGAGATAGAAATAATGTAATAAGGCCCTTACCAAATAAGACAAAAATACAATTAATCATTTATTGAAGGAAAAGAAGTGTTGCAATTATCTGAAATGAGGCCCTTACTAATTACTCCGTAAGATAAAAATGCAATTAATCATATAGAAGGAAAAGAAGTGTTGCAATTATCTAAAATGATGGAAATAGTAAAAAATATGGTATTGACTAATGAGTATAATTATATCTAACTAGGTTGGAATCAGTGCGGTGTATGATTTATATAAAGCCTATTTTTAATTTGTACATTTTAAAAATAAATCAATATTATACATGAATATAAGTAAGAATTTCGTATATTTTGTAATTTTAATTTTTTTTTATTTTAATCAATATTATGATATAATATCTGTTCAACGTTGTCTAATTCATAGTTCAATGAAATCGGTCATTTATTAGTGTGCTATTTAAAATTGTTCAATTTCCTACGATAAATTGATAGGTTTTAGTTGTAATATAGAAGATCACAATATTTAAATTTCAAAAATGTTAAATATGATAACTTTCCAAAAAAACATAAAAAAATAAATAAAATAAAATAAAATAAAATACAGAAAGATGACATCATCATTGCATTTAGGCGGAATTTTTTTTATTGAGAAAGCGATACGTGTACAATGGTGAAGTCAACAACTTCTGTTTTAGTAATAGTTAATAGATAGATAGATTAGTCCACTCCCTTATTTCCAAAATATTGTTCCTTTGCTTTTTTTTATTTTTTTAATTTTTTTTAGGATAAGCTTTATAAACTTTAATAATCAAATTTAATTTATCAAATTATAATACTTCATCTGTTTTCCTTTTATTGCATCATAATGACTTTTACACTATTTACTTGATCTTCTTTGACCATCTTTTGTGGTTTTTCTACCAGGAAAAATATAGTCATGTGGGATCTAGTTACATTCGTCTCGAAATCTACTTTTCAAATATCAATTTTTTATAACTTTTACAAAAGTATAATTAAAGATATTAATAGCCAAAGTAATGCATTGACAAGCATGAAACCCCTTATGGTGCAATAAAAAAAGAACGGAGGAAGTAGTAAATAATATAGTTATATGTGACCTAAGACTGTTTGTTTGACTTGTTTAAATGTATTCATTTAAAATATTAACTTTTTTTTAAATTTTTTTTAAGTAACACATACAAAAATGATAAAATATAACAATATGTTTAAAGGAAGGTGTATGACATGAGGTTACCTAAAATATCATGTCAGTGACACGAGAGAACTCACTTTATAACAATATTTCGACAGACACGAGAGAACTCATCCTTCAAACAACATTCGGTTGACATGTAAAGTAAAAAAGATACTTAACAATCCTGTAATAAAAGGATGGTGTATAACACGAGATATGCCTAACTTATCATCTCAACATCATTTTATTTACACGAGAAGACTCATTGGATGAACATCATTTCAATTGACATGTAAAAAAATAAAGATATATAACAATCTTCTAAAAGAAGGGTGTATAACACGAGATTTACTCAAAACACCATTTCATTGACACGAGAAAACTCATATTACAAGTTATAAAGTCATTCTGATTGACACGTTGACATAACTCACTTTTACAATGTCATCTAATCGACATGCCGAAAAAACTCACTTTTACAACGTCACTCTGGTTGACATATCGAAAAAACTCACTTTTACCACATCACTCTAATTGACATGCTGAAAAAACTCACTTTTACAACGCCACTTGGATTGTTACAAGATAGCTCATGGTTTCACAAAAAGAGAAACATCTAACTTCTACAACGTCATCCAATTAACATGAGAAACTCATTGATTTACAAAAAACTTACTTTTACAACGTCATTCTGATTGACATGCTGAAAAACCCACTTTTACAACGCTATTTGGATTGACACAAGAAAGCTCATGGTTTCATAAGAAGAGAAACAACTGGCTCTTACAACATCATTCCGGTTGACACGAGAAACTCATTGATTTACAAAAAGAGAAACAACCCACAGTTTAATAATCTTATTCTAATTGTAATGAGAAAACTCATTGTTTTTCGAGAAAAAATACAACTCTCACCAATAAAGTGATTACGATTGACACGAGAATACCCATTATTACAAGAAGGGAAACACAACATGAGAACTAGTCTACTACAAAAGGACAAGTTTGGAGACAAAAGACCAAAGTTGATCAAGAAGTTGGCACCTTGGATTAACTCAACTTAATCTAGTTGCATGCATATTAATATTCGTTTTTACATGTTTACCGACCGAACCAAACAAAAACTAAGGAAAAAACTGCCATATAAAACTAACGCCGAACATTTTTCCCATAATTTTACAAAAAAAAAATAAAAAATGAAAATTTTCATTTGGAGGGTCTTTCTTAGCTTTTGGTTCGTTGCTTTCTATCTCCTCTCAGCAGGTACTCAATTTCTCTCTCTTCAATTTCAAACATTATTTTTTCTTCTTTTTCCCTCTTTCAATTTTAATAACAAAATTAAATCGGGGATTTTTTATTTTTATAATTTTTTTGGTATCTTAATTTGTATTTTAATTCAATTTTTTCTTGTATAAATGCTATATTGTGCTGAATTTTTATTTGTATATATATTTTTTTTCATGAGTTGTTGATTTTTATTTTAATTTTTTTTATGTTTAATGGGGAATTGGTTGAATCTCTCTATTATGGTAAATTGAATTGGAATAAATTTTTGATGGGTTATTTTTTAATTTGGGTTTGGTGATAAAAAGGAAGCAGATTTGTTTATTTTCTTAATAATTTGATGCTTATTTTGTGGATCAACTGGATTATTGATTTTGTAATAATTTAGATTCGAGTATTTACTTTTAATTTTGATTGATGAAGAATTGGAGACGGTGTAACAAATTTTAATAATTTTAAATAGGATGAACTGGGTTGTGATGGAATTACCTTATGAATGAAGTTAATGATTTACCTTTAGTGATCTAGGGTTTTCATGTTATGTATGTGCTTGATTTCAGAATCAGAACATTTCGGTTTCGTGTCGCGGTGTTAGAGGGTAGAGAACTAGAGATCAATCTTTGAAGCTTAATTGGGAATCAGCAAGGAGAGTGATTATTTTCCAAATCAGCTGACCATTATATTAATTGGGTTTTAAAACAATTTATTGAAGATCTGTTATAGGCTAGGAATGAGGGATTAGTCTTGTATCTACCAAATTTGTTTGTAGTATTATGATTTTAATATTTATTTAGCTAACTTATTGGGTTAAAAATTTATATCATGAATCCGTAATCGGTTAATTTGCCATTATCACTTCTTGTATGGTATATCTGCTGCTAATACTAAGAAATTATCTGCATGATCTTTTCTTGGTAGGAAGTCCCATGTGATCCTCCAGAAATTTGATTGTACCGAGGTTGAGAGAGATTTGGTGTATACCGACTTATAATTGCTTTGATATATTCTGATTGCATCTTAAGCATTTCTCATCAAAACTACATTGAGTATTTTCCTCATTGAAATTGGGCATCTTTCTTCATCTCCAATAATCAACAGATGAGGAGGGGAGGGAGGATTGGCTCAAGGTGCAGTGGTACTGTTAACCGACATGTCCGTGTGAAAAGTATGGAATCTGAGGATTCTGATGAGGACTATGTGGCTGAAGTTGATGAAGTAGAAGATCAATCTGATGAATTAGACTCCTTAGTTGGAGACGCTTCTGAGGAAGAGAGTTGCTTTGAGGCGGAGCTGGAAGCAGAGGAGGAGGATGAAGAGGATGAGAAAAATGAGGGAGGGTGGAGAAGAGTGGTAAAGCCAAGGACTAAGAAGGGATCTGCAAGGAATAGGAAAAATGGTATAAAAAGATCAAATAAGAGGAAGAGAGTTGTAAAATCTGACGATGAAGAAGACTCTGATTATGACGATGAGGAGTTTACACCAGAGGAGGAGTATTTGGAGGATGAGGAAGAGGATGAGGACTTTTTGATGCAGAAGACGAACACTAGGAAAAGAGGGAGGGCCACATCTAAAACAAGAACTTCTGTGAAAAGCCGGAAAAAAAGAAATACAAAGCCTGTGAGGAAACCTCGTACAAAGAAACGTACAAAGACTAGAAGTTTAAGGAGGAGGACAAAATCTGATGGTGATGAGGAATTTACTGAGAAGGGTCCTACTCTGAGAGGTAGGACCCTGAGGAATTCTGTGCGTGGAAAGAATAGGGTGACAAATGGAACAGATTCTGATTTCTGTTCTGACTCATCTGGTTACGAGTTCACTATATCTGAGGAAGAGCGAGAACAAATCAGAGAAGCTAACAGGATTTGTGGAAGCCTGGCTCCGACCTTGAGGAGTTCAAGGAGAGTCCAAGAAGATGAAGTTTTTCATGAACCGAAAAAAACTTCTGCCAGGAAGGGCAAAGAGAAAGCAGAATTGAAAAAGACTGATGTGGGTAAACCTGTTTGTGGTATTTGTTTAACAGAAGAAGGAAAGAATACTGTCCGTGGGACATTAAACTGTTGTAGCCACCATTTCTGTTTTGCTTGCATTTTCGAGTGGTCAAAAGTGGAAACACGTTGCCCACTGTGCAAACAGAGGTTTGTCTCAATTAGTAAGCCTGGGAGATGTGGTAAAGCATTTGATCTAAGGGATACGGTGATATCAGTTCCAGAGTGTGATCAGGTACTGTTTCGAAACATTGACCCTTAAATCTATCCAACATCTTTCTTCTTGTGGCACCATGTATACGTGCCTAGCAATTGCTTTATTTTATGTTCTGTGTTTCATGTTTTATTGAAATAGCTCAGACAATTTTATTGCATTCAGGTCTATCAACCATCTGAAGAGGAGCTTCGAGACTTTCTCAATCCCTATGAAAATGTCATTTGCACGGAATGTGATCAGGGTGGGGATGATGCCCTTATGCTACTTTGTGATCTATGTGATTCACCAGCGCACACATACTGTGTTGGTCTTGGGCGGGAAGTTCCTGAAGGCAATTGGTATTGTGATGGTTGCAAACCAGCTGCCCTTGGGTCCTCACATTCTCAAACTCAGGATCTCATTCCTGATCAGAGGACAAATACTGGTGTTTCTGATGGAGCATCTACGTATGAGAACATGGCAGAAATAGACCTTAACGTGACAATACCAGAAATGCCAGTTAGTCAAGGAAATGGATTCCTTTCTTCTCCAAGATTTTCAGGTGGAAATTTTCAGGCACCTTCTCCTGCCTCTGGGATGGGTGTATCGACTGTATCAGGAAGACGACTGATTCACCGTCAAATTCGAAATATTCTTACCAATAGGTTGAGCCAAGTACCCCCTGGGACTGATATAGGTGCTTTTGGCAATCTAATTGGCCGGGGGGTCAATTCAACACAGCAACAGAGTAGAACAACAGATGTAGGGCCCTCTTATCAATCTCCATATGTAGATAGATTGCAGGAAAGACTTTCTAATAGTGTACAAAATAGGGAACCATTTCCTGGAAGGCTGGGCCACATGGTAAGACAGATGGGTCAGCCCTCAACCTCTGCAAATGGCACAGATCAAGGTCAGGTACATTGGACCGGGCTAGAGCCGCTAGACAGCTTGAATTTGGGTGAAGGTCAGAGTCTGATGTCAGCTGGTGAACAACTTCGCCCTATTAATGGTAGAACAAGCATTGGGCCTGAAATTGGTGCCCCTCCCTCACACAACAGGTATGAGGAACATGCAACTTTAGTGAAACAACAAGTACATTCAATAGTGAGGAGCCAGCTGAAGAGCTTGTCTCAAGACATGAACTTAGGTGAGTTCATTTTAGGTTCTTTGCATTCGCTCCACATCCTAACATAGAATGGACTTATGATTGTTTCTTGAATGCATATACCTACTTTTGACTAAGCACTTCATATTTTCCAAATCACTAAGTTGCATGGACTTGCCTAGAAGTTTAAGCATGTGTTGTTGAATTGTTAATCTAAGTTGAAGTGTCCAAAAGTCATACATAATTATATTGATGATACATACATTGATAGGCAGAGTTTATGAATTCATATAATGTGGCCCAGGGGCAGTGAAGAGTTGTCTCTAAGGATTATGCACCTAGATTTTCAGCTTGAATTAATTTAGTCATTTATGGTGCATTGAGAGGCTACTTTATGTTACACGCAATCTGCAGAAATGCCACCAATTTTCCCTCTAAGATAAAGGTATAAAAGAAAACGAAAGTGAATGATTCTTATTCTATGAGTCTGTGGCTGCTCAATTTTTGCATTGGGCATTTAGAGTTGGTTTCTGCCATTAGGACTCTAAATCTTGTCTGGTGCAACTCTTGTCCCATGATAGACATTTTATTGCTTGATTCTGAATTTTTAGTCAACTTTATTTTGCATGCAGGTAACGATGATTATGTAGAAATTTCGAGGAGATCTGCACACACCATTATGGCGGCATGTGGGCTAGAACCTCGAAGGCATGACACATATGAAGCACAACCTCCAATTTGTGTCCATCTTGTAAGCAGGTTGGCCAATGTAGAGATAAGTCCTATCAATGGTTGTTGCTTGAATTGTTTTGAGGGTTTCGTGAAAGATGTTGTGAAAAGGATCATGGACATACTACTGCAACCTCATTGGTTTGGTTTCAGACATTGATCATTAGATACTTGGAACATTTTTGAAGAACATATTCTTACTCCGGCCAATGTTTTTCTTTTTTAGCTTAGGATGCTCATTTTCTTGTCTATGTTTGTAGGAACAATTGTGACTGATTACATCAAGAATTTTCCTACTGCTGTGGACACTCTCATATGGGAAGGGTCCAGAAGCACCATTCCTGTTTTCCTAACTGTTCATAACTAACTTGAACTATTATGGCTTCAGTCTATCGTCTGTTTTTTTAGCATCTTAGGTGGCAAGGATAAAGGCGATGTTGCTTCAGGCTTTAGTTCTGTATTGCAGAATTTGCTGCATTTCTTCATGTAAGCCCTATCTTAGTGAATCAAACTTGTTCGCTAGTGATTATTAATGAATGAACAAAGTGCTTCATCTTCTGAAAACATTTTTATTTCCTTATTAGTTGTGGCTTTTTCAGAACAGGATCTGTTCCAAGTAACCTAAAAAGTAAAAGCCCTTCTTTGGATTGTTCAAATGTTTTCCCTTGGCTTTAGTAATAGCTAGAACTGGTAGCTTTGTACCATTTTTATCTCTAAAATTTCTCTTTGATTTGGCATGACAATTATACAGAGACGAGAGAACCAATTCAATTCAATCATTTCACATTGACTTACGGAGTATTTTATAACTTTCTTATCGTCTGTTGGACCCTTATGTTTATGTGAATTCTTTTGTGAGCAAGGTCAATTCTAAAGCCGTAATGTATTAGGACCAAAACGAGGGGGCCTTAACAAAAACCTTTTTATTTGTATGTACCGATCTCTTGCTCTCGTCTGAAAGAATTTGATAGTAACGAAAATCAATTCATGGTCTTTTGACTCTTTTCAAAGCTATTGAAAAACCATACTCATTCGCCATCTAAAAATGAACCCATTGATGTTACTAAAGGAAAATGAGACTTAAGATTACTTATTGGTCTAAGATATAGAGTTTCTCTAATTGTGGTTAAGGCAGAGGAGAAAGATCAAACTTGAACCTTTGGGTATTACTTCAAGGAGTTTTATTCTAAATAAAGATGTTTTTCTTTGATTATTCCTCCCAACTCCGAAAATATATATAGCCTCTTCATTTATGTCTTTATATCCGGCATTCTTTGTTGAGTCCTCTCCCTCCGTTCTCTCTTGAGATTAGTTGGTACGCTATGCTCTTTTGGGCCTTCTTCAAACCAAACCTCGGATAACAGGCGGCCGGGGGGGGGGGGAGGGAGAGCGAGAGATTCCCCTCAATGTTGGAATTTGTGGAAAGTGAATTGGATTAGCGCAAAATAGAAGTGGGAGGGAAGGAATAGCTGGATGAATCCTCCCAACTATGCCCTAAAGATTCTAATTTTACACTCGGGGGAGAGGGAGGGTGGTAAGCAAACACAAACTTCTATATCTTCATTCCTCGTGCTAAGAGTAACGAAAATCGTGAGAATTTAACAAGGATTATATCTGTTTGAGCCTAGAGCTATATTCCACTCTCATCATAAATTACATTTATTCCTACAGGTTATTACACTCGCAGATACATTTGCATATTCACTACAAACTGGTTTACCAATGATCCTCTCAAATCCACAACCCGCAACTTCATAATTTGTCCTCGAACATGGCAGACATCAACAAACCATGGACAAATTCAGATCTCCTTGCCCTCTCCTCTTGATCTTTGATTGACAGGGGCTCTGATTTCACATGCCTGCCACCACTAAAAGATTAGATTCAACCAGCAAATTTATCCAAGTTATCAAGCATGTACTACTTAATATTTGATTCGTAGGGAATCCTGACTACTGATAAAAATACTGAAGCCTTATCATAGACAAACTGTAAAGGCGGCCAGGTCGAATAATACATATAACCTAGTTGGCAATAAAACTAAACATGCACTGTAAACACAGGCTCGCAATTCAAATGTTAGTTAGCCCAAAAATTATGGTAAAAAGGACATATTTACTAGATAGTCCTGTGCAGCAATATTCAACAATCACAAAACAACACAGCGATCAAATTTCAGAAAATTTGTCCTTTTTTTCTCAGGCAAGATATAGGCTACAGATGTTGGGGTAGATAAACAGTACAACACAATGGACTAACAGGTAACATCTTTTATTGAGTATGAAAGAGTATTGCCATTATGTAAAAGCTGATAAACAGGAAACAGACAAGATAATATACCAACCTTTCTCGTACACTCTCCTCTTTGCCTTTCTTTGTTGTGCTTGTATCAGATAATGATTGAGACTGAGACATCCCAATATCATCAGCCATAGGCAATATAAAAGATGATAACAAAGGATCAGGTGCAGCATTGGAAGATGACACTATACAGGAAGAACCCCCAAACAGGGACTGTAAGTTTCCTTCCTGCAATTCTTTTCTCAACAGTGAAAGTGTTGACTGCGATCCATTTTTGCGCGATTTCCTCTTGCGCTGTACGTGGGATATAGTCAAGGAACTCAAACAACATATCCTCTAAATGTACAAAAGGACCTCAACGCCTAAATCAACAATGACACAAATGCTTTCCAATGTTTCAAGGCTGAGAAATTATTTATCTTTCTGAAGAATTAAAGCATGTTTTGAATATATAATTTGAGATGAGACGAGGAAAAGAAAGGAGGGAGGGAGGACCTAAGAGACTATAACAAGATGAGTGAATTTGACATTATAAAAGAATTCAACATAAATTACAACTCCGCAGCATATATCTGAGTCTATCCTTTAAATTTCACTATAAGGAGACAAGGAGTATCCTGCATTTACATGGACCTCCCCATACCCTACCCTCAGGTAGATCTGTATTTGACTAGTTGGTTGTTATTGTAGTAGTAAAAGAAATCACAGAGGATTGCAACCAAAAAATGTAATCAAATAAGCAATAAAGTAATTACTAAATAGAAAAGGATATTTTAAAAATGTTCCCATGTTGCAACGTGATGTGTGCAACCATATCAACCCCTACCCTCATGGCACAAACTGGGCATACCTGAAGATCAAAACAGTCACAGTGTGAAAATACAGTATATCAAAAGGTCAGGAATCATAAAATTTTAAATCCAAGTTCTCAAAATACTAAACGAAAAGCAAACTTTTAACTAGTTTACCTAAAAGTTGGACTGTTCACTGAAGCATCCCAATGTTTCACTTTCTAAAATAAGGTACGCATACCATTATACCCTGAATAACAATGGCAATAAAGACATGTTCTCTTCCATCAGGAATAACAAAGAATGCACGCAAATTTGTTCAACACCCAGAATGTTACTTTCAATAAAAGACAACAAAGCATTTTCAATATCAGAACATATAAAAAATATACAATACTTAAGTTTAGAAAATTAAGCATTTATAGTCTGGAAATGCAATATCGGGGTTAAAATTAACCCCTAAACTTTGGTTCAGATGTAAAAATGTCCAAGTGAAAATCTTAATTGGGGAAGCAAAGTTGTCAAAAGCATTCACAGATCAAATATAGAATCATAAAAGATACAGATAATCTCATACGAGTGATTCTTTTCAATCACTGATACTTTACATGGTTAAGGGTAGCAAAGCCTCATTGAGAGAAAGGAAAATTGATTACTCATACAAAAACATCATTTGATCATTGGCATACACCACTTACACGTCTTTTCTTGTCCTCCACTAAGTCCTTTGCTTTTTAAGGGTGTGAGGAAGGGAGAGAAAGAGTGAGAAATAAAGGCATCGTCTATGCACAAGCAAGTACCTAGAAATCATAAGCTCCACCACACTATTTCAAGGCAGATAGAGGAATGGGATCAAACAGGAAGACCATGTCTACTAAAATTCGCTGCCACAATTCAAAACTAAGGTTGAAGAAGGCCACCTTTGCCCAATTAAATAAAAGCTTCACTTAACAACGACAGAGCCCCGTGAATTGCAATTCTAATAAGAATATATTATTCTACCATAGGGTTTCTAATGAAAATTGGAACCAGCCAGCTCAGACTACTTTCATTCAAAATATTTTCTTGTTGAAATAAGGAATGATATCTAAGTTCATTTCATTGTGTTTCGGTTATGAATTGAAAGAAAGCGAAATCTGTGCCATAAAGTCTCCCCCTCATATTAGCTTCTCTCTGCCCAGACACTTCCATCACCATCATCTCACCACATTGCCATTGTACCTCTCCATTTGACATTTTTCTCTCTTACTTCTTTCATTCACCGTAACTTCTAGTCTTCAAGCAAAAACTTCACCATTTACATGTGTTGGCTAAACTCAAGTCTTTGGGAATTCCGAATCTAAAACTTAAAGGGCCTAGTCCAACCATGGAGTCATATTTGGTGAAACCTATGATGCCTTGACCCAGACACCAGCATCGGACTCAAGTATGGAGCCAAGGATCAGATACAGGAAATTCTATATTCAAGGAAGCGAGAAATAAAATTTGTTTTTACTTACATAATTTTTAATATTATCTATAAGATTTTAAAAAATTAAAAATATAAATTCAGAGTTAATAGCATTAATTTTTTTTTGGAACACTTGTTCGTTGACCATTCATTTACCCCTTCATCGTGCTTTATTGAACACAAGCCATCTTCTCTCTTCGCAACATGCAAGAGCATGGCAGTTGGCCAATACTTAGTGGGTTTTGCATCACTCTAACGACCAACACGTCCAAATTTCTCTTTTCTTTAATTGGTGCCCTGATTCACAGATCTGGATTTTGAAACCCTATCTAACATTATCAGAATTACCTTTTGATTTGGTGCTAGTCAATTATCTCCCTAGCAACTTGCAAGTCCAACCTATGTCCCACATCCAGTGTCCACAACCTTATCCCATGTCTGCAACCTGGTCAGTTCGACATGGGAACTGCTAGGGTAAGAGTCCAAAACTCCAAACATCACACAGAAACCTTTGCTTTCGGAATAAAGACTAATGTAATAATACTCAAACTTGCACTTTCCCTCTCTTGAAAATCTTGGGGTTGGCAATGATTGGTATGGGGGATTGTCCAGACAATTTGTCAAAGAGCATCTTATGTTGCTTGGTTGTGAAGGAGTTAAGGGGGTAATTAAAGGATAATGGGATAATAGCAAGTAGTGGAGGAGGGTCAAAATGTAGAGGAACGTTGGGTCATGTCTCCACGTCATGGATGAGTTTGAGGGTATGTATTAAGGGGGGAGTGGGGATTCAGATTCAAATAGAAGCACAGGAGTTTTTAAAATACAAAGAATTAAAAGGATAAAGCGAAATCTGGACCAAAAACTACCAGGGGTAGGAAAAGGAAATTAGCGATGACTACCTTTTCCTTTTTTGAAACCTGTCTTGTATACAGATCCTGTTTTCCCCCATTCTTCTCTACTTTTCATGTCAATCTAACAACAAAACTTCTTCCATGACTTCCAAGTGCAGCTACTGCCTCACTGTCCATTGGATCCAGGGCAAATATCCTCTACAAATATAATTTAGGGCCATATATTGAACAAGAAACAGACAAGCAGCAGTTTTCAACTTATCCCATACTAAAACATAAAATAACGGATGCAATTAGCTGGCACTAGATCCAAATGAAAAGCCACCACGAGCTCATAATAAATCATGTCTTCTCATACTATTTTTAGCTCCAATAAACGTACTTCCCAAAACATTCACCTACTTAACACCTTCCCGCCGCCATATTTTCTAGGGTAAGAAGATATACATTACAAGAGGAACATGACATCAACCCTTCCTACTATGATACATGGATCAAGACAGATTCTATGCACAGAGATGGTCATCAGTATTTTGAGTCACTCACTACAATTACAGCATCAGTATTTTATACCACATACTAAATAATTGATTGAAAAAGAGGAGTGCATTTGCATGTGACAAGAAGATACTATAATTTACTGCTTAAAACTCAAGGAAGCTCTTATTGTGTGGTGATAAGATTGCACCTGTTCTATGAGAAACAGTATCCGCCAATTAGAGTTGATTTCATACAAAAAAATGGTAGTGGATATTACAAAAGATGAAATAAGAAATTATAATAAAAGGTCATTAATGACCCACAATCGAAGGCAAGAAGGGAAAGGCATCTGACATAAAAGATGAGACACCCCGATGCTTGTGGCAAGAAAAGAAATAAACCTAAGGGACCACAGGAGATTGGGCATATCCAGAATTCAGCATGTTTTCAACCCTGAAAAGAATTCTACGGGATTAAATGATTTTTACAATTCGTCAAGACGGTGCCCTCTTTAATGTTAGATCCTTGTTTACATAAGATACGGGTCTCTCCCATTTTCCTTTCCATTCATGAGTGGTATTACAATATCTAGCAATTACTTCTATGCATTGCCTACTCTTCCCAACCCCCCATGTTTAGTGTCACTATATTTGCTCACCTCCCCCAAGATCCTTTATTATATCGTTTTTTAATCTAATGATACCTTTTCTGGAAAAAAGTTTATTACGTGAATCTCTTAGAAATGACCTCATTAAAGTCTCAAGCATGGGTAAGACTAAGTAATACAATTTCTCAATCCTCAACACTTGCCAACGGCATATTACTCTCTAAATGCCCTTCCAGATAGAGGTAAGAATGTGTAATATTTTCCCAGCTGATCCTCAATAAGACACTCAGCTTTATTTGTCTTAGTTTTATAATCATCAAAATGATTCCAGAGCAAGAACAAAGCATTAAAACAGTTTGCTAACTTATAACCACAGACACCCCAATTAGCCCCTTCATGAGCTTGACTGCTTGAGCATAATTGTCTCAAACATTCTCAACTCTTCTTCACTTTAACTCTAGTACTCTACTACAACATAAGCTCGTCACTCCTATATTGGTCTAGAGCTCATATTCTACAACATTTTCCAGCCGCCGCATTCAAAACTCCAGTGCTAATTATGAAAGTGTCTACTGACACCTTCTCTCCTCTTGACCCCTTGCCCCAAAAATATAGCAAAGTAATTCTTCAACATACACTATGGAAAAAGATCCGATGTTTGAGGAAGAAAAGGGTTACGCTTATGCAGCAGCCACATCATGTCTCTGATATGTAAACAAGCCACACTGTTATTCTAAGTTCTTGACAACTAAGTGCAAGCAACATTGACACAACTCCATCATTCCATCAATGTTATTCAAACTCTAACATAGCCATTCCTTACTTCAAACTAAAGAGACCTACGTGTTGCCAATGTGGTACTTAGTCCGAACACCAAGATACGTGTAGCTTGCATACATCATCCTGGCTATCAAACCTAATACAAACTACCTCTTTTTATTACCCTTTCCCATAATAATTTACGGTTTGCGTCAAACTTCATATCTTGATCATTTGAATGAATAAAGAAATTTCACTGACTATTTTTTTTTTAAGAAAAAGGAATCATCACACAGTTCCTAAAATCCTCTTCATTGACATCTTGATTCCCAAAACATGAGATCATCATCCAAGAGTCTATAATACAAATAAACAATATGGATGCAAACACCGCCCCAAAAAAACAAAAGAATCATCTTTCCTCTTCTATACACTCAATTAAGCTCATCAAACATTAAAAAAAAAAAAATACAATACAATACATTAACACGACAGCTTAAACCAGTATGACTACAATTTAAAGTTCGAGTTTCAACAAATTGATAAAATTTTAAAGCTTTTTCAACATTAAAGTTTCCAACTTTCACAATATATATCAATAATGAAGACAAAAGAAGAAAAGTAAATACCCCATTTTTTGCTTCAATAGGATGCTCGTCATCAATGTGGCAGCACAGTCCAACAATGTCAAAATACTCCGCACAAAATGGGCATGGAAACTCCTCCCTTATATCATCATCTCCTTCAATATCCTCAAATCCCATATAAACATCTGTAATTTCCCAAAAATAAAACCCAAAACATCAATTAAAAAGACCCAAAAATTGAAAAAAAAAATTAATTAAAAAGGGTTTTTCTATTTTTTGTTGGTGTTTTACCTGATCGAGTTTGGAAAGCAGATTGATAACGCTTAGAAACAGAAGACAAACGAGCAGCCCAAGAATCACCATCCATAATTAAAATCGGGAAATAAAAACTATTGATCGATTAATTAGGGTTTCGATTCGAGCTACTCCAGAAAGTTAAGCTCAAGTAGATGTAAATTGATAAAAAATGAAGATGAAAATTGGGGATTTTTCGAGCAAATGAAGAAGAATGAGAGTGTATGAGCTCAGAATTGTTGAGAGAAGAGGAGAGAGAAAATGCGGATGAGTGAGAAAGGAAGGTTGAGAGATGAGATGAAAATATCAGCTTGCTCTCTGCTCACTTCATTTTGCCAGTTCTTCTTCGTCTTTTATTTATTTTTTATTTTTATTTTTTTCTTTTTTTCTTTTTGGTATTTTTTTGGGAATTTTGGGTGTTTTTTTTCCTTAAAATAAAATTTTGATCATTGTAAGTTGTAAGATTTGCAAATTGCAAACTCAATTTTTGTTCTTTTGTTGTTGGATACAGCTTCTTGAATCATGACGGCTCATCTTTGTCCAATTGGCAAAACCATGCTTTTCTTTTTTGGAATAATTTAGGTTTGGTACTTTGGTGTAATGTTTGTTTAATTAGTACGAGTACGCATTTTAATATATGTCTCTTATATTATAAGAGAATAGAGTTATTATTCACTTATTGGAAAAAAGCTTTTTGATGCGGACAAACATCATCTACGGTAAGATAATTACTAGAATTTTCTAACATGAGAAATTAAACACGCATAAAATATAAAAATAAAATAAGATGATGAGACTCATAAGTGACACACTTAAACAATTTGATCGATATCACTATTGTTTGAATTTAAAGGATCATACAACCGATGTGAGATAATTAAACAATTTGATCGATATCACTATTTTATGATGATAATACTAGTATTTTTTAACATAAGAAATTAAACACGCGTAAAATATTAAAATAAAAATAAAATAAGACAATAAGGCTCATTAGGGACACACTTAAACAATCTGATCTATATCGCTATTGTTTGAATTTAAGGGATCATACAATTGATGTGAGATTTTTAAATTCTAATGACTCTATTACTTTATACGGGAATACAATACCAAGTAATCTTTCGTGGTTAATTACCTTATAATTCTGAGGCAGAGGATCGCTCCTATTTTGTATCCGTGAGGTCTAAGAATCAATGCTCATGGAACTCATTTAGCTCAGTAGCTCACTATGGCTCCGTTCTTTATTTAGCTCACTAAATTTGAATATGCATTATGGTTCAATAAATTTAATCCCACAACTTTATTTCCAAGTCTAATAAGTTCCAGTTAATTTTTTACCCAAGCTTAGGGCCTGTTCACATTTACTTGATTTCAATTCAGTTCAGTTCAGTTCAGCTCTTAATTTCCCTCTCTCATAAAATATTCATTTCAGCTTAATTCAGTTAAGTTCAATTCAATTCAGCTTCAATCACTTCAGTTCATTGAATGTGAACAGGCCCTTAGTCCAATCCAATGCAGTTTCATTAGGCTGTAAATTTTTAAACGTGGAACTAAAAAAAGTCGTTGATATTGCCATTACCGAACTTTCTATCTCCCCGCCATTGGAGCACAGATTGCACCAATTCAACCTCTGATCACCCATTCACCATTCTTCTCCCTCACATTGCCGCCAATTTTCCGATCATAATTCACCATTTTCTCTCTCCTCTAAATCACTCTCAACACATCTCCAAATTCTCCTTTTCATCTTCTCTCCTAAAAAAAACAGAGAAATTTAATGTAAAATGTGCCGAAATTAGGGATTTTCAAAACTAAAGTTCGTCAAATTCTTCTTCAATTCAACAATTATACTGCTAAATTTGATGATATGAGATTTCAATGACGTCGAGAAACCGGACGATTTTGTTTAGGAAGCACAGAGATGCGCTGAAGAGCGTACGAACGCCGATCGAAGGAACGACGTCGCATCAACATAGTATTGATTTGGCTGCTACCTCTTTGCTTCATCGTGGTGCTCGATCATATACGCCTATTAGTTCTGAGGATCCTGGAACTTCTAGGTTTGTTAATTTCTCAATGTTCATTATTTTTGGTCATTTTTTGCTGTTTAATTTGGTATACATTGTTGTTTAATTGGATATAAATGTAATCGTAATTAGCATTAGTTCGTAAGGAATACGATTTTGAATTAGAGCTGGCAAAAGTTGACTCAACCCGAACATAACCCGAAAATAACTAGTATGTGATTGAAGAAGATGCAGGTAACAGGGGAATGTACTGTTGTACTAGAAGAAAGTTGATTGGACGTATGGAACTACATACCATAAATCGGCTATACCGATATTTTACCTCTTAGAGACCATATATGCCTAGGAAGTTATTTATAATTAGACAACTGAAACAATGGTGAGGTTCTAATCATATAGTTGAAGTGTTATAATTTGTTAACATGCTCTATTGCTCACCTTCTTTTAAATGCTCTTTTTTCGGCATCAATGTGTATGTAATTATGTATTTCTTAGCAATTAAATGATCTTTTCTTGAAGTTAAATTTTGGAAAATTGTGATGTTGTCATTATATAATTGTAGTGTTGTCCTCTTAAGGAATTTAAGTTTCTTGATGCAGGAAAGGTGCAGTAGAAGTTGGTCTGCCATCAGCTTGGGTAGATGTATCCGAAGATGTGGCATCAAATGTGCAGTGTGCACGTTCAAAAATGGCTGAGTTGACAAAGGCTCATGCAAAAGCATTGATGCCTTCATTTGGAGATGGTAAAGAAGATCAGCGCCGAATTGAGAGCCTTACTAATGAGATAACGAATTTGATAAGGAAATCTGAAAAGAGTTTGCATAGACTTTCTGCTGGTGGACCTACAAAGGACTCGAATGTCAGGAAAAATGTGCAGGTATAAATCTAACTTATCAGGGGTTGAATTGAGTAAATAATGTTGGTCTTATGCTGCAGTTGTCCTTTGAAGTTAAGTTTGGATGTTTTTACTGCAGCGTTCATTTGCAACTGATCTTCAAAGCTTATCAATGGAGCTTCGGAAAAAGCAATCTGCATATTTAAAGCGCCTTCAAAAGCAAAAAGAGGTTAGTATCAGAACCTGATGTCTGCATAGCTGTTGTTTGCTGGACTGCTGGTTATGCAGTTATTATATGACTGTATATCTTAGTGTTACGATTGCTATCTTTATCCTATCAACCTTGAAACATTGAAGGTTGCTACTTTCTTGGTTTAGGGTTCAGATGGAGACTTGGAAATAAATATGAATGGGAGCAGATCTCAAGTCGAAGATGCTGACTTGGATGACCAGGTACTGCAACCAGGTTAACTGATTTGTTTCAAGATTTCTGAGATGTTTATCCTAGACTAGAAATTAAGAGTTACTGTCAAGAACAATGAAATCATACTTTTGAGACAAAACAACATTATTTGTTTGCTGAATTGATCTTTAGTTTAGTGGCTTTGCAACTTTTCTTCGTTCTCAAACCTTTTTCACTTTTGTTCAGCGTGAATCAGAAACTGAGTAAATTTGAAATTATCATAGGGAAAGTTAGCAGCTCGAGGATTAGGAGTTGTTGTCAAGTCCCATAAAGTGTCACAAATCCTTTCAGCAATTTCTTGTGTATATTACATTAGTACCTATTGCTGATGGGCCTTTATCATTGTGGATCTTATGTTTACCTTTATAAATCGTGTTAAGTGCCAATTTTTTATGGTTCTATATTTTTATGTTCCATATATAGGAGATAAATGAGCACCAGCTAGCAAGGATAAGGAAAAGTGAAGCCTTCACTGTAGAGAGGGAGCGAGAAATCCAACAGGTGAGTAATGCAGCTATAGCTAATAGCTTGATTGTATAACAAGCTTAATTGCATATGTATTTGACTTTTGATTCTAAACTAGGATACTTTCATGTGTTGTAGAAAATATCTTTTTCCCGAGTTGCTAAATCTTTTTGAACTCTGTATGATCCTTGTTTAGTCTGTCTCCTTTTTTCTAGTTCTTTTTTCATTCATTCTTGTCAAGTAATTAATGCAAATTTTTTTTTATTACAAATGTGTTTTGGTGATCAATGTCTACCATCGCTGCTACTGTAGACATCAGCCAGTTAGCTGTTGGCTTTACAGCCTTTACTATTATATGAAATTAATTAAATTGATTAATCTATCAGACTATCATCCAATATTCTAATGTGTAATTTACTGAGTAGTAAGTTTTAATGCAACAGCTATTTTAGTGGAGGGGGGAAACATTAAGTTAAAAAGAATAATACAGAGATAGAGAAAGTAAAATATTATTACTGATTCCAAAATACATACATTCACATTCACATCCACATAAACATAAACATCTCTGATCCACGTCTTGTTTCTTTCATGTTGTCTATAGGTTGCAGAATCAGTGAATGAGCTTGCTCAAATCATGAAGGATCTCTCAGTGTTGGTGATAGATCAGGTTAGCAGTTAAGCAACTTTCATGATATGTCAGCTGAGCATACCCATGAATGATATAGATAATAATCCATCATGCTTGCGTGCAGGGTACAATTGTTGATAGGGTAGATTACAACATTCAGAATGTAGCAGCAACAGTTCAGGAGGGCCTAAAACAGCTTCAGAAGGTCATCTTTCTTGTATATATGGTCTAAAATAACCGTTCAGCTAATTTCTTTTGTGGCGTCATCTTATGTGATTGATGCTTTTTTTTTTTTCATTTTCTTCTTTCTGTTGTGGCGCTGAACTTGCAGGCAGATAGAAATCAGAAGCATGGGGGAATAGTGAAATGTGCAACCATTCTCATTATAATGTGCTTTGTCATGCTCGTTCTCCTAGTATTGAAGGAAATTATTTTTTAAAAAGTGAAGGTATTGGTTTTCACATATTATCAAATTTGTTTCATCTGCTATTAGCCAGAGAGAAAAAGCTTCAGGTTCTTGGCTGGTTCACCTAAACATGCCGTGTACTCAATTTTATGCCTATTCTGTTTTGAGAGCTTCTAATAGGGATTACATGAATCAAAACCACGAACAAGTGTGTATACATACAAATGTACTAAGACAACAATTACAACTTTACAAGACTACAACATTAGACAAAGGCAGCTATAGTTTTATTTCATTATTGGAAGAACTACTCTGAAGTGAAACATTGGTTTTTGTAGATCTATCTTCTTCAGATGATTCTTTAAAGATTCAGACATTGTTTATCTGTAAACATTATTAAGCAATGAAGCCGATATGTTCATTATGGTTCACATTACTCATTTTATTTAGGCTTCACATTGAACAGCATACAAGTAACTCACGAGAGAGCTAGATATAAACATGCAATGATCAAATGCCTATAGGCTATAATATTCTAGCAGCTAAACCATTTATGTAATTGGTGCAATATTTCCCCTTAATTATTATCAAGTCATACTAACTTTAAGTTTTTGTAATTGACCTTGATCTGAAATAGCAAAGTGTAGTGATTTTGTTGTTTACAAAATAGTGTAGGTAGCAAATTGCTAACTTGTTTAAATAAAAATAAAAAAAACTGCATAAATTGTACTGCAAGCTCTTGTAGCTCAGTTGGTTAGAGCACCCGTTTAGTAAGCGGGAGGTCTTGAGTTCAACTCTCAACAAGAGCAGTCTTCAAAGGTGTCACATATATATTTTTTAAAAAAAAAGAGAGAGAGAGTAGACAAATGTAATGATCTGAAAGATCTAAAACTTTGCTTCATTTCTATAACTGTCCAAATGATCGTAATACAATGAGTGATTTGCTTATGATTAGAAGAATTACATATAAATCAACAACAATGATGATACAGTAATGACAAAGGAAGAAAAGAACTAGCTTGATTATTTCTTTTTCTTCTTTGTACTGCTACTAGTTAATTCATCAACCGTAAAAGCTCTCTGCACTAGCCCGGCGATTGGAAGCTCCAGAACAAAGGTTAACTTCTGAAGTACTAGTGATAAAGAATGCACATCTGACATGGCTCTGTGAGCTTCACCTACTTGTGAGATTCCAAAATGCTCTTGAAGTGCTTTCAACGTCTTCGACCCAGTTTTTCCTGGAGACAAAGAAAAACTTAAGATGACAATATCTCAGCCAAAAGAGAAGGGGAGGATAATGAAAGAGACAACACCTGCAGATTTCATTGCTTCTTTACTTAAAGGAAGAGTATCCACAAAATACCAGTTCGAAGGGATTTCAAAACCACATCGTCTAAATTCAGCAACTAGGAATGGCACATCAAAATTTCGGGCATTATGTGCGACAAGCACCACATATCCCCCTGGCTTCTGACGGCTCTGGACATACTTGAGCAATATTGGAATAAGCTCCTCCATCCTACATTAGAGACCAATAACATTGAAAATAAGCATTACCAAACTTATAGTCTGTTTAAATGAGGAAATTTCAGGGGTAGGGGACGGGATGGAGCGTGAGGGATCTATACTTCCTTATTTACATGTGGAATGGAGGTGGTTTCTTTTTTCTTCCCCTTTCAATAAACTAAAATCTTTCACTACTGGACAGATCGAAAGAAAAATTCAAGCACCCTTCCCTCCCCCTAATCTCCCTTTTCTCCATCCCCCTCCCCTTTCCTCCATAGCTGCGCAAACCAAACACACTATAAAGATTGAAAAGACTACAAATAATTAAATAAAGTGTCAATGTCAATACTGAAGACAGATCTACCAGGTGTTGATCCTTGACTTCCCACATCATTATCATGGTACCATACCCGTTTAGGGGTTTAATGGATCTGTTTGGAGAGTAGTTTAACCAAAAAATTAAAAGAATAAAGCATGTGTGCACATGCATCTGTTTTCAACCATTAGATGCAAGAGTAATGCATAGTCGATTGTCTTATATATCTAAGTAGGTCACTATAATGACAAACTTCAGCTGCGGGGCAGATGAAGAATTAACCAAACAATCTCACCTTTCCTCAAAGATAGCATGATGTTATAGAACATTAACTAGTTCATATACCCAGACCAACATCTTTTGTAAAGTTGTACACTACAATAATAAAATAACTAGTTATAATTAAATTTGTAAAAAAATTCTGGTTGAGATACCTTGGAACACCAGGTTTACTGACCATCTGGGTTGAAATACCATGGATAAATTCATTTCCGACATCACGCCCAGGATTAATTAGAGTGTGGAACGTGCTGTTTTCACCACCGTGAAGGTCCTGAAGCGCAATCTCAATGATTCTTTCTACAGTTCTACTAAACCCGGTTGTCTCAAGATCAAAGACAATAAAAGTCGCAAGGCTGGACAACTCTTTATTCTCAGCTATTAGTTGTCGGACATCTGCACTGCTACCATCAGTTATGTTTATTGGGAAATCTGTGCTTGTTGTCGCAATTAAATTATCTGACAAGTCATGCCTGATATTAACTGCACTGCTCAAGGAGTTTTTGCTAGTTTCTTCATCTGCAGTGATTAAGGGTCTTCGACTCCAACTTCCACTATTTCTTTCATGCCCACCAACACTAGAACTTAACAGCCTAAAATTAGATTTTTTACATGTTGGACTTATGGGGACAAAACCAGCCCACCACGTATTAACCAAAGAGTAAACTCTGCATCTGGGTACTCGCAAGATTGAGTAGCACATAGGGGCTGTTCTCATCTGAACTTACAGCGTTCGTTCAATGAAAAAACAAAGCAAAGCAAGGGATTTTGTATTTGCATCAGAAGTGGATAGCTCAGACCTGATGACAGCAGTTTCAGAGAATGTGAAATGTGAGTTTTGTTTTATGACCGTAAAAAGAATTCAACTAGCATAAACAATTGTTCATCATCATAGGTTAGCAAAACAAATTTTAGCTCCAGCTGAGCTGGAAGTTTCCTTCCACAAACTTAGCATAGATTTAAAACTATATGTTTATATGAACAAAGCTGAAAAGAGACCAAGCTCCTTTCCTACTTTGGTGGTTATATGGCTCTATAATCAGTAAAATCTTAAAGATACAGAGTTATAGACAAAACATATAGACTAAGAAACAGCTAGAAGTTTCATGTCATAGGTCAATCATTAAAACAGCAATAACGTGATAAAGCCTATCAGTGCTTTGTAGTAGAGTGATTTCAAACAAACATAACAAGATTGAAAACAGTAGAGTAAACAAAGTCAGAACTCAGAAAACCCTGATGTGAGATTTTAATCCATGAATAACATTCAGCAGCTTCCAGTCCATGAAAAATTTTCAGCTTCCGTTGTCCCTATCCCATAGATACATGCATACAGTTACTACCATTTATCATCTAAGCCAATTAAATACTCTTTCAGCTCATTTGTAAAAGAAAGCACTGGCAATTGGCAATTCTCCAGTGGATGTATAATTGTATATGGAATATCATCGACACTATTATGTCAGTTAGCAACAAAAGGAAGATAGGATGAATGTAAAAAGTCTGTGCACCATAAATATGTTATCATCACCAAATAATACTCCTGTGTGAAATGTGACGATTTGTTCAATTGTACAGCAAATCAAATCTCAATCAAGACAAATCAGCAGAAAGCTAAAATAAGGCTCGAGTTGCGAGATTTAATGGACATTCAGAATTCAGATAATGGTAATAGTTACCATGCAATGGCATGGCAGCTTCAAATTAAGAAAACATCAATCTTCAATCCCAGCAAGAATTCATAGTATAACCGCCGTAAAACTCGGATAATGCCTCAACCTTCTGGTGAAAATTAATTACAGGAAGCTCAGCCTCTTTAAAAACATAACATGCTTCTTCTAGCAACAACCTCATCATGAAATGCATATACTCCAACACAATGCAGAACCATGTTAGACTGTTTCATAATTAGATCTATAATTAATTAAACCTATAGTTAACAAAAGGACCAAAATGATTGTGAATCGCAATTAACACAATCCAGACACCCAAACACATGAGAAATCTCTCTTCAACACCATTAGACAAAAACAAGGCCTAATTTGAAGTGCATCAAAATTAATACTTGCAACAAAGTCAAAATCCAATCTTCATTATTAAAACTCGATAATCTATTACAGCCCATGAATCATTAATACATTTAATAGAAAATTACTCCGAATGAAATATTATCCAATGTTCCCTACTAATTAACCAGCTCACTTGCAAAACTAATTGGAAAAAGAAGCATATCACAAATGTTCAAAAATAAACCTAATGGGTTGGCTAGTTTCACAATACCCAGAAATTAAAAAATCAAAGGAAAGAAAATGGCAAAGAAGAAAAGCTCAAACAAGCAAAAATTCAAACACCCAGAAAAATTAATGACCTGGGAATTAAACAAAATACAGCCAATCTGGGTCAAAGTTAATCAAATCAAAGCATCAATTAACAAAGTTATATACTTGAATAGCATTCATGTAATATGATCAAACTATGTTGGTAGAAATAAAATGGAATGAACTGAACTAAACAATGAACAACCCATTTGAGGAGAGAGAAAGAGAAGACATACCATGAAATGAAAGCGATTACAAATGAGAAACTGCATTTGATGAAGTGTCAAAGGAAGTAGTTTTGATTTGGTTAATTTGGGAAGTTAGAAATTTTTATAGGAAAGAAAGGGCAGTTAAACGGGGCAAGAAAAGAAGCAAAAGAAAACCCAGAACGCATGTGAGAGGAGAGAGAAAGAGGAATAGAGACGCAAGCAGTGGATGATTGCTGCTTAACCCACCCCTTCAAATCGGATCACGAACTCGCTCCGTTTTTCTCGGGGTTTTTTTTTTTAACCAGTATGTTTCATTTCCTAATCAGCTAATCTAAAAAACTTTAATCTTTTTTATTTTTATTTTTATTTTTTTTGAGGGGAATTTTTTTACATAGTTCATCACAATTTACTTACTTCATTTGACAATGTTAGATTTTTAGGGGGGACATAGGGCTACAGTAGTCTAAAGATGTATTCTCTTCCCTTTTTTTTTTTAATTATACTAATTACTCCGTATGAATCATGAGTAAACATCATATGAGATTAGAACGGATCGGGTTTAATTAAATTAAATGAGTATAAAACAAATCTGCCCTGCATAATCTTGTAAATTTAGCCCTCTTATTGGCATGTAGTATTTTTGAATATGGTAAGGAATCCCTACCCTCAAAGTATCTCTTAATGAGAATTAAACCCACAACTTTAAGATTAGAAGGTGCAATCTTTTCCGCTATATCAAGCTTAGCTTAGTGATTTCATAGTCGAACATGATTGTATTGATTTCATTCCTTTAAAGTTTTCATCTAGTTTTGAGTCTTTTAACCAGTTTTTTCATAGAGAGGAATTTAATTAAAATTTATGGGTAATGATATATGTAGCCCTTAGGGCTATGTATAAGCATTAAATATACTTCTCAAGATGGAATTAAGTTGAGAATTCATGAAAAAATCACGCGTAGATTGGTGTAATTTCCTCAACCTTTCTTTTTTTCAGCTTAGCCCATGTTTATCATTTTCCAAAATTTATTCAATGAGAGTAGTGTAAGTAAAAGCCGAAGACTTCCAATTTTATTATATTAATGATGGAGGTGGTGTTTTTTTCCAAAAAAAAATAAAAAATAAAATCTCTTACTTGTAGTTGTATATGTTAATTTGGCCCGAGTTTACGGGTCAGACACTTGAAAATTAGAGAGCAGGGTATTGAGAGAAATTCTTACCTTTAAAGTGAACAAGGATTACTATTGTGTCGTAGTAGTAGTATTTTACAAAATTATCTTGTGGATTGAAGCACAGGAGTAGTATTTTACAAGTCAAGTCAATAGACTACTTTTTTTTTGAAGGGAAGTCAATAGACTACTTGATAGCAAAGCAATAATCAATAGCGGGTATATTCCAATATTCCACTCATTTCATTTTTTTTTTTTTTTTTTGTCCTTTTAATATGGAAGCATGAATTATTAATGCACTTTTCCTGCTCTAAATTGGATCAACAACCCTGATTATTGCATGAAAGGAACGAAGATAGGATTAGTTTTGGGATTTACGCATCGTATGAGTTTCAATCAAATTTAATAATTTAAAACTTCTATTAAAATCCATCAAAATCTACTCAATAAATTGAGCATAAAATATCCTTGTTATGAGCTTAATTGTGAGAATTGAACTTGATTAAAATCATTCAAGGTGATTGTGATTCGAATATATAAAAATATTAAGATAATTTGAAGTAGAACTCTACAAATTAAAAAACAAAGTGTTGCTATACTGTGGATCTTGTAATAAAGAATGAACCGACGTAATCCACAAGATTAGCTAATCAGTACAAGTCGCTGAATCACACTTTATTTTAATTGTTTAAACACAATATTCAATTAAACAAATCAAATAATTTGATTTAAATTTTTGTTTAATACTGGAATTTTATATTCTCCACATGATTACGCGAATCTCTATAAAATGTTTCTTTGTTTTCTTCTGAAAACTATAAAATCTTAACAGCCCATCAATAGTTTTTTTATAAACAAAGTTTGGCCCAATGGGCCGTTGGACATTGGACCAACTTGGAAGCAGATTCTTAACAAATCCTACCATGGGAATATTGGAGTGGAACCTAATATGGCTAATATGTAGTACGTGCTACGTAGTATATGAACTCAACATTTCACACTAGAACACTAAGGTATGATATCCTCAATTAATTTTCACTTGCCTTAAGAAAATCAAGTTTTGAAAAAACAAGTTCAAGACATATACCTTTGAATAAGTTATAATCCATTCATATGAACCCAATGACAATACTTCACAACTAAAATCAATACATTATTAGTTATTGTTTGGTTGACATGAAACTTAAATTTGCGTGTAAATTTTTATTTTATGAGAATAATTTCTTCTCCAAAATTCCTATGAATTTACTTAACTTGCTTGGTAACAACAAGGGAACTTAAAATTCACATGAAATTTGATTGATCGAAAGAGTTTGGTGTAAAGTAATTTATTACCATATTTTGTTGAATGTCTAAATTTTCGTAAATTTCTATTGCAATTCTATATGTACTTTTTTTTTTCTTTTTTTTTTGTCAATCAAATAACTACTACAGTACTGCCTAGTCGATTACCCCATAATTCTTAGTACTTTGTACTGTCCTATTTTTGTTGTCAATTAAACAAACACATATTAATTCACAAAGTATTTAAATCCTAAAATATAAATAATGGCTATAACTTTTCATTATTAAAATAAGAGCTTAAATGAGTTTAAATGGGCTTATAAACTAACACGAACGAGTAAACAAGTCGAGTAGTAAGTAAGCTTGAATTTTGTTTGAGCTTGTTATATTAATGATCGAGTTTGTTCATGAGTTATGCATCGGCTCATTAACATATCTAGCAACCATAAAGTTTTTTGTTTTCTTGACTAGTTTTAGGCATCACGAATTCAAGATATTCACAATGATCCAACCCTTGCCCAACTTTAAGATTATGACCATCTAATTTACACTAGTGTAGTAACAAACCCATCATGCAAAACAACCTAAAACACATAAAACTACCCAAACCAACAATCCCAAAAGATTGCCACGTAAGTTCCCGCCTTCACTTTCCCTCCACCCTCATTTTGGCGGGTGTCCAAATTCTTCTGATTTCTGTTTTGTTAGTTTCTCCCCAAAATATATTTCCCCCAAAAATTAATTTTAAAAATCCTGAATTTTCTAGTACTTTGCGCCTTCACCGAGCCTCTTATTATGTCGGTTTTATTATCTGCCTCTTTTATTTATCAATCTTTTATTATTTTGCCACCCCAGAAAAACAGAGGGTGATTAAATTTTCTGGGTTTATTAATTCCTCTGTTTTTCTTCATAAAAAACCCAACTCATTTATTTGATTTTAGCCTCTGATTCAAATACTTATTTATAAAATTAAAGAATTAAAGGTGAAAAAATGAATGAAGCGAGGAAATTTTGTGCAGATTGCAAGACCACAAAAACCCCATTATGGAGAACCGGTCCTTATGGTCCTAGGGTATAAATTTATTGCATGATTTCTTTATTTTATTTATTTATTTATTCTGCTTTTGATTAATATTCTGATTGAATTTCTGGGTTTTTGTTGCAGTCACTTTGTAATGCTTGTGGGATAAGATTCAGGAAGAGGAAGATGGCAGAAGATGATCAACAACAACAACAAAAACCCAGTTCAGAAATGAGGGGAGAAAATGATGATCAAGTTAATAATGATCAGTTTTTGAAGATGAATAATCATAGAGATATGGGTAATATGATTTTAGCTCAAAGATCATCATCGTCGTTATCATCTTCGTCGTCGACTTCGTCTTCACAGTTAAAGAAACAGAGGAGTAGCAGTGAAGATAGTATTAACAGTAGTAAGAGAAATTTGGGTGAAGTTGAGCAAGCTGCTGTATTGCTCATGTCTTTATCTTGTGGATCTGTTTTTGCTTAATGGGGATCATAATTTTTTGGAGGGTTGATCGATTAAGCTACCTCGGTCCGAATTAAGTTGTCGTATGGTAGTTCAAATTACACTATTAACGTGATTATTGTATTCAAACGAAGTAAAGGATTAGTTGATTAGTAGTAGATCTTTTTACTAATCTAGTTAATGATTGTTGTGGTTTAGTGGATGTTTTGTTTGATTTAGGAGAATGTCATAGAAAAGTGTAGAGAAGTTTTTAGGTAAAATGAAAGTGACAAAAGAGGTGCTAAAAATTTGTGGCTTTTACATGTTCGATTTGTAACCTTTTTTTGTCACGTATATTAGTAGATTTGTACATATATATAATCTGGATGATTATTGATAATTTTTGTTTGATCTCTATTATGTAATCAACAGTTTAGACTCTATTAAAAAAATAAAAAAAAAAAATTCAACACTTTAGACTAATTTGTTTTTGATAATTGCTGGCCATCAAGCCTATCAAGATTAAGTTATGTTCCAATTTGCACCTGTTTCTGGTGAAAATAATGGGACCTTCAAATAGGTCCTTTCGACTGAACTCGGTTCAAGTGGTGACTGGGTCGAGGATTTCCTGCACAACAAAAACACGTAAATTGGCCTCGAGGGTTGTGCCGAGGAAGGCCTCCCTAATGTCGAAGTCAGGAAAATGTTTAGAGAGAGAAAGCTATGCAAGAGTATTAGTTGTTTGAGGCTTGAAGTGAATGAATGTAGAGAGAGAGGATTGATGGTTATATACCTTAGCATAATGGGCGAAATGGGCCTTGAATCAAGTGGGCTTTCACGTTGACTGGCCTTTGACCTGACTCGGCATAGATTAGAAAATTGAACCTATGACCTTCAGCTTCATAATTGAATCATTTATGGACTGACTCAATTGAAGTAAATTGGACCCAAACAACACCTATTCTACAAGTACTATTTTGTTTTGTGTTTTATGTGTTAGAACAGTCATATGGTTAATTATGAGATGTAGGAATAAGAACAATTCATTCAAAGATATTATGTACATTGTACATCTTATAACCATTAACAATACTCGTTGGCCTATATATAATGGCGATAACTAGATAATGGTAGCAGAAGAGCTAAGATCAATAATAAATTGAAGTGCTTAGGGCCACACGAAATTGTTTGGGTGTCAAGAACTCAAGATGGCCATTTAATTGCGGGCCTCTTGTCAAAACAGCCCACAAGGATATTAAGCCATATCTGGATATATTATGGCCACCTCAAATAATGCCAAATCCATATTAATCATGTGTTTGTGAATGCCAAATCCAAGGGACAATATTGTTTTGCCTACAAATAGCTAGAACATTTACGAGTAAGGCTGTAAGGGTCTATTATGTTCGGCTTAATTTCAGTTTAGCTTCAATCTGTTCAATTTATTTTTTTAATTTCCTTCTCTCATAAATAATTCATTTCAGTTTAGCTTAGCCCCAATCAATTAAGTTGTTTTCAGTATATCGGAAACACAACCTAAGTATAGACTCATACTTAATTACCTGGTATAGTTCATACCAAAATTCATTTTAGTTTATATTTATACTGTCATTATTGATAAATATATTGATGTTATTGACTTTATATTGTTATCTTTTATTTTAAACCATCATTATTACCACGAGATTTCTATTGGAGGAAGAGAGAAAGAATAAAGAGAGTATTTTTATTTATTACACTGATATTATTGATTTTATACTGTTTTCGTTCTTTGGTATAGTCCATAATTAGGGCATGTTCTGATTTACTGAGCTGAACTGATTGGAGCTGAAATGAACTGAATATTTTATGGGAGAAGAAATTAGAAAGTGAATTAAACTGATTGGAGAAGAAATTAGAAAGTGAATTAAACTGATTGAAACCAATCAAAATTGAACTGAAAATAAGTTGAAGAGAACATGCCTTATTAGTGATCCATCACGCCTCCATAATTACATCGAGCTTAAGGACATGATAGGACAGTTAAAAAGAGACGTTCCCAATAAGGCAATAAGAGAGAATATGTCATCACAAACATAAATAAATAAACGAAAAAAAAAAGAGATTTTTCGCAATAAACAATTCATTCAACAAGAATCCTAGACCGTGCCGAGTTGCCGCCGCATACCCGCATCAACACGTACACGTCTTTACTTTCCTTTTTTTCCAAATCAAAGATAGAAAATACTCCACCTTCAATGGCTTAAAAATCATGATTTTTACAAATTAAACGTTACAAAATCACAAAAAATAAGAAAATATACTACACCAAAAACAACTTGGACAACTTTTTTTTAGTCAAAGAGTCCTACAACACACTTTTAGGTTCCGAATAATATTAATAATAAACCCTAATTCCCCCCCCCCCCCCCCTTTTCTTACTTCTTCTTCCTCCACCACTCAAATTCATCTCTTATCTTCCTCCTTTTGACTCCTTCTATAAATTCCCAAACACCCTCTTATCTTTTCTTGCTCATTTCATATTTCCCTCTTTCTTCTCTTTTCTGTGTATTTTATTACAATATCTTTATCCCGGTTTTGTTCATCACAAATTAATATCCAATTTGATTAAAAACATAATCAAATTTGATTCTTTGAATTTGCATTCACATTGTAATTCAATCTATATTTATAATGGCAATCCCCTGCACACATTTCATATCCTCAGAAAAAGCAGCAATGGAAAACGGGTTTTTATTAGGTTCACCCAATTCAATCTCATCACCCCGGGTATTAACCCAGGATGAATTGAAGAAAATCGCAGCTTACAAAGCAGTTGAGTATGTCGAATCGGGTATGGTAATCGGGCTAGGAACCGGGTCAACAGCAAAACATGCAGTTAGCAGAATTGGTGAATTGCTTCAACAAGGTAAACTTACTGGAATCATTGGAATACCCACTTCAAAGATGACCCATGAACAAGCTGTTTCATGTGGTATTCCTTTATCAGATCTAGACTCATACCCAGTCATCGATCTCGCAATTGATGGTGCTGATGAAGTTGACCCATTCATGAATTTGGTTAAGGGTAGAGGTGGGTCCCTTTTAAGGGAGAAGATGATTGAGAGTGCTTGCAAGAAGTTCATCTGTATTGTGGATGAAACTAAGATGGTTAAGCATTTGGGTGGAAGTGGGTTAGCTATGCCTGTTGAAGTTGTGCCCTTTTGTTGGAAATTCTCAGCTCAAAGGTTGAGAAATTTGTTTCAGGATTCTGGGTGTGTTGCAAAACTTAGGGTTTACCCTGAGAGTGGTGAGCCTTTTGTAACTGATAATGAAAATTATATTATTGATTTGTATTTTCAGAAGGATATTGGAGATCTTGATGTTGCAAGTGACACGATTTTGAGGTTGCCTGGTGTTGTTGAGCATGGTATGTTTCTTAACATGGCAACTACTGTTATTGTGGCTAGTGAGCTTGGGATTACCATCAAGAATAAGTAGAATTTTAGTGTTGTTATATTTACTTTGATTTAGGTGAAATTTTGATTTTAAGTAGGATGATAGTATGAAGATTAGTCCTTTTTGTTATATGTTATATGAAAGCTTTTTTGAGTTTTCTTAGCATTAACTAATTTGATGGTATCACATTGTATTTTTGTTGGTATCGAAATTGATCAATGATTAGTTGCTATCAGTTCTCACATATTGAGCATTTGGTAATTATAATTAGATGTTATCTGATGATGGATCTATTGCTTGTACGGAGTATATTATTTTAAATAAGTGGATTACAGAGGCCGTGTAAGTTGTGGCTATGTTATCTATCGTTCAATGATTTTATGACGGATGAGTTGAATTTTAATTGGTGACAAATTGCTCAAAGATTTCGCCCTATCTCTCTAGATAGGGATGTCAAGTGTCAACTCCTTCGCTTCTTCCTCGTATATCAGTAGAGCTTACTTCAACACAAGCAAATCTAATTATGCTGATTAATATGATTCCCTGTCTGGCAGTCTTTGCTTTGACAACCTCTTGGCAACTTTCAGTTGACTTGTGTCTTTTCAAGTTGTACCTTTGCAAGTTGCCTGTTGGGTTTGGAATTTTGGAATTACAGCTCACTGTAGGCATCTTTTTGCCCCATGAGCAAAATCAAATCTTCTTGATTCTTTAAGCTGCTACTAGCTTGGCATATATTCATTTTGATTGGTCGCTGCGTTTCGTTCTGTTCCAATGGTGGAAATTACTTTTGTCCAGGGAAGATTCATATTCTGTGTAATTGTTGCTCTGGCTTTTGAATGGAAAAGCTAGAAGATGCTCTGTGTCAGCTCCTCTGTTATATATTCTTCTGAAGCAAGCTAAATGTGGCTGTGCTAAATTTATTCCCTATAATCGAAGTTCAATTCTCCAATATAACTCTGTTGCCCTGTTAGAGTGCTGGCAAAATTGTGTCTGATTTATACTCTGTTGCCCTGTTGGAGTGTTGGCACAATTGTGTGTCTGATTTATATTTCATCTGGTACTGCTGGCGGTATTTACTGCATGCCTAGATAAAAAATGTAGACACTACATTGTGGCTTGCTCTAAAATTATGTTGAGGATTTGTATGATGAGAGGATGAGACTATGAAGTCCCTTGGTTAATTTGCTATGCTTGGTATTCATATTTGGATGAGATGTTACTTTTTTTGCTTATGCATACGGGAAACCTTGAAAAATATAATTGTTGCTTGTTAGCTGAGGCAATTTTCATTGCCGGTAGTAATTGCTCTTTGTTATTTTGATTTTGCGGATAATCTATTGGTCCAACCACTCTTACATACTTGTATAGTTGTATCTTTGTATATATGAGATATTTATCACAATGTCTGCATCAAAGGAGGCAAGACTATCAGATCTTGTCATCAAAATCATTTGATTTTATGATTATATACTACGTAACCTACCACCGTATTAAAAAAGAAAACTGGAGTTGTGATTTCAATTTGATTAAGAAATAATATCAAACACTTAATTTAAACAGAGACGCCTCTTGCATTAAGAGCATTGAGGCGCCACCAAGGCAATTGCTAAAGAACTTGTGCCTGATGTCCTCAGCCCTTTGACTGCCTACTGCTCTGAAACATTAGCCTTGAAGTGTATCCTCCCCAAAGCTCTTGATGCCAAGTATGACAGCGTAATAGCAGATACATAATTTGTATAATGGTGAACATACGAGCATGCTATTTGAAATTTCCCAATCCAAAGTACTGCAGACTTCCCAGTTTGGCTCATTTTAACTTCAGTAAAGGTTTACTAGAGATACAAGGTACAACTTTAAACTTTTCCACCATACAGCACAAAGTTACATCTTGTCATCTTGATGTGGTGTTTGTTATTGTGAATACATTACTCTGCACCTTTTTGGAATTGGATCTATGTCTTAAACTATTGATGTCATTCCCTTGAATTTAAGTTCACTCATAACTGAATAACTGTAAGTGCCCTGTATAAACTATTTCAGATGAGTTCTGTTTTTTCCTGGCACTTGTACTTTGCCATGTAATGTTCCTAACTTTATGTTGCTTTTTGTAAATGAATATTAGCTTTCACTTGTTCTAGTTTTACTTTGCTCATATATCTGCTTCCATTTCCTTGATGCTTCTGCTTGGTATTATTCTTTGTCATGTTTTTGTTTCAA